TTAAATTTCTAGTAGCATTAATTTGAACTTTTCACCATTATTAAGAACCTTTCTAAATCAACAGGAACCCCCCCCCCTCCCCTTTTATAATTTCACTTTTTAAAAAAACGAATAAAGAGATTTTATTCGTAAATTATTTATACATGTTTTAGAAAAAACTCGTGTCGGATTTCTCAATATTAAAGAGACTTTTTGAAAATAACTTAGGAACCCGGTTATTTTACTACCAGTTTTTCACATCGTTCCGGGTATGTAATGAAAATTATCCACAAGCTTTGATAAAATTTTTATAGTAGTTGCAGTTATATATATGAATGCTCAAAGGAGTATCTTGTTTCATTTATGATACCTTTTCATTATTTAGGGAATAAAACTATATTCATGTATGAACTCATTGAGAAGTACTATTAATAAGTTATTAAAATATGGTAGTTTGTTTCGTTTTCTTAGGAGAATCCTTCTAACAGTCTTTGGTTAAGTCATAGTAAATAATAAATAAGTAAAACATAGCTACCAATTTAAAATTAGTAAAAAAGTAATTATATTTTTTAGTTTTTGAAGTTCCAAATACTTATTACTAAAACAGTTTAAAAACTTGAATAATCCCTAGCGTTAATGTTAATAATACGGTAACTGTAAGAATCGTAGTTCCGTACTCTTCCTAAAAAAATGTTTTTTTTTTATTACAAGTGTTTCGTTATTCGACATATTAATGATAAAACATATCCGTAGTCGAAGTGTGTGATATTTTCAGTGGTATATATTAATCAGGGAAAATAAGATTTTAGTGGTTAATGTATCAGAATTGTTTGTTCGTCACTTTAATGACAAAACGAATCCATACTAGTTCTGAGTATGCTTGCTTGACTTTTTTAACCATTTAGGTAGTGCTACATAAAATAAGGCAAGCACTCATTATTTTCAGCTTTTAGTAAATCTGCAATAAAATAATTCAGATACCATTGTTTCTTTTTACCCTGATTATAGCTACTTGGAAAATGTCACTGTAATAATTAGGTTAAAAATACAATTTGTACCCTAAGGATTTTCAAAATTAAAAAAAATATTATTAAATATTACTTATTTTTTGTTTTCCAAAAAACCTTCGTTTTAACTTAAACGTTTGTATAAAAAGGCAAGATAATTATTTTATATTGTGTTACAGTTCTTAACACATAGCTGACCAACAACTTTTCTGAAAATTTTCCAATGTGTCCGGCTATTGTTTTCGAAAGCTGATGTGGAAGTAAAACAATATAAATAAACTTTAAATTTTTTTATTTATTATTCACTTCTTAATATTTCATCTTCGCATGATAAAAAGTATAACAATCACCTACGTGTACTGGTACACTTTACTTACTTTATTTAAAATAAATTGGGTGCCTAGGCCGCGCAGCGGCCTCTAACCCATCCATCATGAAAATAATACAGTGTATATAGTCATTTTGAGTTATATGATAGTATGGTTACATAATAATATTGCCATGACTAGAAAGTACAACTAGATCGAAGGTTTACATGAATTGCAAAGAAAATTGAAAATAGCCATGACTAGATATGAAAACATGATATACTAACTTAATCTGTGATATTTACATTGATGATCAGTAGAAATTTGAAATTGAGTGTTTAATGTTGATGATAGCGTAAGTATATATAAAATCGGGAGACAAATTGATGAAAGCGTGTACTGGTACACCACAAGTTTTGCAAATTTATCTGGTTTCGTAAAGTTATAATAAATTGGTAGAGAAAAAAATAGTGAAACTTGAAAAGTAAGGAAAATTACGCCCACTTTTTAAAATAGTCACCACGAGATCACTGCTAACCTGATTGCTATGACTCGTAACCGGTCATCAACGCTTGGCCACGAAAACACGAGTTAACTCGTGACCGGTCAGCAATGTGTTAAAATATGGACGTTTGCTTCTTTTTCTTAGAAGAATCCTTCTAACAGTCTTTGTTAAGTCATAGTGAATAATAAATAAGTAAAAAATAGCTACCAATTTAAAATTAGTAAAAAAGCAATTATATTTTTTAATTTTTTTCAGTTCCATCTGCTGAAAGTAAAACAGGTTAAAAAACTTGAATAATCCCTAGCTTTAATCATGTGCTGGTGGATATAATTGTAAATTTGAATAATATGGTAACTGTTAGAATCGTGGTTCAGTACTCTACCCCCAAAAATTTTTTTTATTACTAGTGTTTCGTTATTCGACATATTAATGATAAAACATTTGTATCCGTAGTCGAAGTGCGTGACATTTTCAGTGGTATATATTAATCAAGGAAAATAAGATTTTAAAAATAAAAGAAAACAGCACCGTTTTAATTTTCAGCAATACTTTCTAACTTAGTCTATTCTAAATTTCGTGCTTTAAAAAAAAATAATAAAAAAAAAATTCTTTTCTTTTAAACCTATTTTAAGCCTTTATACAATTTAAGTGCGACAGCAAAATATGTAACTAGTAACATTTTATAATTATAAATCATGAAAAAACATAGCCAGATGCTAACTAATTTAAAAATATTATTAATTGCTTAGCATAAAAAAGTAACATCATCATTAACTCTAAAATATAATTCAAAGTATGTTCCATTTTACTGTTTCCATTAATATTTTAAAAATTAAGTATTTAAAAAGGATTTCAGAAAAAGAAATCAATACTTGGATCAACAATTTAGTTAGTAAAATATCTTTTAATTATCGTAGTTACATTTATTTTCAATCATATTGTTGTTGTTGCTTATCCTCTTCTGGCCTGACGAAGTCAGTCCAGATCTATGAACCCGTTGACCTGAGAAAATTAAATACCAAAAGAGGAGTAGAGTAAATGTCTTAACAGAGAAGACCAAGACTGTTCAGGATGTGATCGGCGGACGCCCGGTGTAGATGGTATTTAGGGCAAATGGGGTGGATTTTAGTTCCTTCGGAAAATAGAAAACCTTTAAGATGACCGGTAGCTAGGCGGGAGATGGTGGTGCAGACTCTCCTTTCAAAGGGAAGGGTCAAAGAAGCTCCAGGCTTATTTCTCTTGTACCAATGGTGGGTGGGGGGAATCAACCAGTCTCTGAGAAGCTGGGATTTCTTCAGGTTCAATCATAAAAATACCTACTGTAATACAGTACAAAACTTGCACATTGAAAAAACTGTAGTACAACAAACATGCCTAAAATAAACTTATTCTACTTTAATTTTATTTTTATTTTTAAGAGCCTATCAAACTGTAATAAAACAAAGAACTATGATAAAATTTACTGCTATCTCACTCCCGTACTGAGACAGAAATATGGACAAAACTACCAGAATATGGTAACATTTACCATGTTCATGACTCTATAGGAACACCAAATTACTCGGTAATTTTTACCGAAGCGCTTTGTTAATAAATTTTTTTAATAAACTACTGCTTCGTAACATGTGATAAAATTTAATAATTGTATAAAATGTTGTAATTTTATCTTCATATCTTAGAGCACGGCATAAAAACCATTTATTCGGTTAAATTTAATTTTAAGTTTTGTATTTCTTACTAAATGAGTGGTAATAAGAACTATAGTTTTGAAAAACAGAATTCCCAGTAAATATGTACCATATGAACTGAAAAATTACCAAATATATAGTTTGAATACTGTATATTTTGGTCTTTTATATTAAAAATTATGTTCTTTTTTTTAACAAAAATGTCATTATAATACAATAAGGTAATTATAACAGTATTGTTTTCTCATTGTGCAAATGAATTTATTTTCCCATATTATCTAACAGACATGAAGCTTGTCAGATTTCCCAAATTCATTCATATATCCTTAGGATGCAAACGAACGAGACATCGAATTAAAAGTATTATTGATGTATCGAGCTATTAGAATTGGGTTGAAAATTTATTTTTTAACCCTCTGGACGCAGTAGTAAATTTACCAAATTTACAATCTAGTTACGTAGTTTTCAAATTTAAAATTTTACTATCAAAGAGCGTGGTATAGTAAAATATTTCGCTTATGGTGATTTTACAATAAATTCCTTACCAAATAATTACGGTAACAAATTTATATTATGTATATTTATAATATTTTTTTGGTGCACTCGTTGAGCGAGACACGGTGAATATTACCATATTTCGAAAATTTTGATCATACTATTTTTCCCAGAATGGTTGTAACCTGAAAGAGTAAAAAGAATAAAGTTTACTTAATAAAAATTTAGATTGCGTATTTTCAGTCTTTTTCAATTCTATCAAGGCTCTTAGAAAATGAATCTTATACTCTCCGAAAAATTGGTACACTCCGAATACCTAGAACCAAATACCAATACTCTCCGAAAACCTAGAACCAAATTAACAGTGGATTTACTGTCATCTTAATACAGAGTTAAGTTAAACCTTATTTTATTTCCAATTAAACCGTATTGCGAATTCATGCTGTCGAAATTTCCCGTTGTACTATAATATGGTTCAACTTGTCACAGTATATCCCAGTTCACAATATTGTGGTAAAACGTGCTCCAAAATTTCGAACAGTACTGGCAGATATATACTTCAAATACCCTCTCAAAATGCAAGTCCGTAGCTGTCTCAGAAACTAAGATTAAATGAAGTCATCAGTAAAACATTAGAGATTTAAAGGAAAGAAATAAACAGACTTATTTCTGGGCTAAAATTTAACTAATTTTATTGCTTCCTCAAGTAGTTAAATCATTCTAGTTTTTAGTTTGAGCATTAATCGCCTCAATACTATTTCCAAGTCAATAAATTATTTGATTATATTTTAATTAAAGTAAGCTTATTCTAACTAAATGGTAATCAAATAGGATGAAGATGTCTGTCTTAGGATTAAGGTGTTAGTAGTGTTGCCAAAATGACTTTTGAAATTCTTTGCACTAAATTCGAGTTATCTGAAGATATGGGAGTAAAGACTGGCGAAGCGTGGACGATGACATTAGATCACAATATCTCACCAGGAAAGATAAAATCCCTTTATAATTGCTAAAGGAAAACGGAAGAAAGTGTGCATTATCCCCTATAAAACGCATGGAAATGCAAAATCATCATTTAAAATATTCAGTTACATTTATCCGAAAGGTAAGTTAAATAATAGCTGCTTAAAGGCATTTATATCTCAATGAAATCGTTACCACATGCGCGGAAACATTGAAAAGTTGTGCAAAATTATTTCATCTCTAAAGGATTTCACGTTTTGGAATTTTCTATTCAAATAGTGATAAGGAGTAAGCAACTGGGAAATTATATAAAGACAACTGTTTTAAAAAAAAAACAGTTACGGATTTTTTAATTTTTATGCTGTTTTGCCCAGGTAATATTTATTATATTCAATATTTTTTTGAAGATTAAGTACCACTTTTTTTAATTTTCCTTTACAAATATATCTGAATAAATAAGTTGGATTACGGATTTTTAAAATTAATTTTTTATGCTGTTTTGCCCAGGTAATATTTATTATATTCTATATTTCTTTGAAAATTAAGTACCACTTTTTTAATTTTCTTTTAGAAATATATCTGAATAAATAAGTTTGATTACGGATTTTTTAAATTAACTTTTTAATGCTGTTTTGCCCAGGTAATATTTATTATATTCAATATTTCTTTGAAGATTAAGTACCACTTTTTTAATATTCTTTTAGAAATATATATCTGAATAAATAAGTTGGATTACGGATTTTTTAGATTAACTTTTTTTATGCTGTTTTACTCAGGTAATATTTATTATAATCAATATTTCTTAGCATCACTTTTTTTATTTTCTCTTAGAAATATATCTAATTTTTGGTGATCAAAAAACTGTTAGATATTTTAATATTTATTTAAGTTAAAAATATTTGCAAAATATTTCAAAGAAATTTATTATTATCTAAGAGTTAGTTCTAATTCTAGTACTTCCTTTTATTCTGAAATTTCTTGAAAAAAAATTATATAATTTAGTTTCGATATTGCTATTTATTACAATACACGGTCAGAAATTTTGCAGCATGTCAAACAAGATCCTAATTCAGATTCACTGTGACATTAAAAGGGGGCTGAAATAAACTATATTATCATGTTTCTTAAACTTAACTCTACAATATTATGGCTCTATTCAATGAGTTAATATGGTTCAATAATTTACAGAAGTATGGTTCCTTTTAATACCTTATTATGGATGCAGGAAATTTGCACTGTATTGCGATTCTAGGTACCCATATTGTAGTCCAACTTTTAACTGGTTTTAATGAGAGTGTGAAAATGTAATCGAGGCCCTTATACATCATATATAAAATCTATATAGTTAAACATGACGTAAGAAAATCAAGTTTTGATGATGTAACAATTATTATAACTTCAAAAAACTTAAGTTTAATTGTTGTTACAGAATTAAAAAGGCACAAAATATGTTAATGTCTTTGAAAGTAATTGTATTAATTTATTTATGTACATTGTTCAATGAAAGCATTGCAATGAAAACTTTCGATCTTCTGTCTGGATTTTTACTTTTTAATACTCAATCTTTATCGTTTCAAAGCCTAACCTTAAATTTATAATTAATTTTAAGTTACGAAATCAGACAGAAAATGCTTTTTCCCTGAATAAATACACCATTTTCCAACGAATTTAGGATCTTCAAATTAGAGATGGGGCAGTCGCAATATAGAAAATACAATCCCAATAGTTTAGGCAGAACAGTCGGAAGTTTAGACCCCTTCTTAATTTAACTTTTAATGAATTTTGCTACATCTCGTGAACTTTATAAGAGAAAAAAAAATTTGCATACAGTTCTAAAATTCATTTATCCAATTCATTCATAATTATTTATAATTTATAAAGTATCGTTAATTCATAATTATTTATAATTTTTATAGTTTAGTAATAGTTGAAGAAATTTTGAACTGTAAAGCAAGCAAATTTCTAAAATCATTTAAATCATTCAATCTTAAATTAATAAATGCAAAATTTTAACGGAAAGAGTTGAATATTTCACGGGAAGTCAAATTTTAAAATATATGGCATTTTAAAATTCTATAACTCAGAAATTATTAGACCATTTTCGTTCAAATTTGTATTTTCTGGTTTAAAATTTATAATTATCACTCATTCATAATTATTCACAGTTTTTGTTATTTAATTTAATTTATGATATTGTAAAAATACGAATTGCAAAAATTGCAAAAATACGAAAATATGATATTGTAAAATTTCGAATTATATATATATATATTTTTTTAAAGAT